ATTTTATTTTTCTTGCTTACCCACAGAAAGACTTAGTTTTTCTTTTATATGGAAATGCACACGTTAATAAAAAGGCTTTTGGAGAAAGTGGCTTGGCTTATCAGAAAGAGTCATTTTATTTTTCAGGCACATTGACTGCAAATCGGTAGATTGGAAACGGGTAATTAGAAGCTGGTTTGTTGTTCTGTGTTCACCCATCGCACTGCTGATTGCATTGGAGACGAAAACATGGAAAACTCAGAGCCAAGACAGAAAAATAAATGTGAAGTCTGAGTTTTTGTTAAAGTAGGAGCTTCAGATTTGGGATAGAGAACAACAAGGTTGTCTTTTGGTGACTCTACAAAGCCACATATATTGCAAATCTAAAATGAGCATTCCTTTTTTTTTTACTATTTTGTTGGGTGAACGCTCCTTTTAATGCTAATCTTCATTAGTGAATGACTCAGACCAAGTGATATTATGTATTTCTGACTTAAAAGTAAAAACTCCATTGTTTTAATGGAGCGACAAACAGTAAGATAAAAACATCAGTAAGTGTAAGGTCCAAATGTGACAAATTATTCAAGGTAAATTGCCAAAGTTTGAGGCATTAAGAGCCAAAGTAAATATATGTACAGATAAACTTAAATAAGTTCAAAAGGCTGAAGAACTATTGATCAAAACCGCTTAAAAAAACGACAAGTTTGGCTTCTTGGGCTCAAAGTATATAGAAATTTGAAGTGGTTTAAAACTTAGAGCATGGATGTCCAAATGGCCCGCGAGCCATTTGCCGCCCTTGGAGTGATTTTGTGCGGCCCACAACTGCAGTTTAAGAATGGTATCATTTTGGCCTGCAGGCTTAAGAGGTTGATACAGACTTTCTGAAAATTAGTTGGTAATCCTTTTTTTATACACCGTTTAGGTTTAACAGCAAAATGGATGAAAAACAATCCGCTCAAAATTAGTAATATTAAACAAAATACAAACAGGCTATAATCTTTTTATTTTCACTTCATGGTACAAAGCACCAAAAAACCTTTCCTGATTTCTACCAGAAAGGAGACTTTTGGATATTGATTCATAAAACTTGACTAAATATTGCAGTTGAGAAAATAATCAAGAGGGAAATTGGACATTTTTAAATGAATATAACGTGGTATCATCAACATACGAGTTGATCAGCTTTATCAAACCTTCTATGAATCTGTTGTAGCGACTGACAGCGGGACTATTTTTCAGAACTTCAGCTTTTTTTGTCGTCCATGGTCCAAAAGGCTGATCGACCGCCTTTTAAAAAGGACACTTACTCAAATTGTGCTTTTATTGCTGAGAACAGATTAAAATTAACTTTCCAAACAAGAAAACAACAAAACATAGACCCAACAAATTAAATAAATCAAATCCTTTTAATAAAAAAATATAAGCTTAGTGTTTATAAGGCTTTTGATCTTATGGATCTACAACAATTTAAAACTCTTTCTCCACCAAAACTAGTACATTTTTGAATTTCCTCCAAAATATTGCTCACGTTGAGTTAAATTCACATTTTTGTAGCTCACGAGTCTTTTCATCTTGATAGTTTTGCCCCACATATGAAAGTGTTTGGACACCCCATTATAGAGTATTCTATGGTTGTAATTTATACAAATTCATCAAGACGCACAGAGAAAACTACACAACCACACATACACAAACACTCTTTGATCTCCCTCAAACATCACATCATTCTCCTGTGGAGAAGTAAGGCATCTCATTTGTATTACCTTGTTTCTTTTTTTAATTTACAGTTTCCGTTTGGATTTGAATATAGAGAAAGGACAACCACATTCTGTTTGAAATTTCTCCACTTCCTCTTGACGTGCATTTGAAGAACTTTTAGCTTTAAAAAGCCACTCACCCTGAAGTGGCACCTCTATAATCAGCTCTGCTGTTTTAGCTTTTGGGGAAACTTGACTATAAATGTACAAAGAGGTTGAACAAAAAAGAAAAACCAGCTCATCAAAAATAATTATTCATTTAAGTGATCTGTGAAGAAGGCTGTGGGTGTGGTATGTGGCATAATGTGGGATGTCCGTTCTTCTCCAGAGGATGCTTCCAGTGTCATATTCATTTGTCTCCTTGTAAGGCTGATGTAATTTATTGCCTCATTGTTCTCTCAGTGTAAAATAAAGAGCTGTTACTAATGAGAACTGTCAGGAAAAAAAGAAGAAGTCCAACTTAAGTGCAACAAAAGCAACCAAAACATTAGTGACCTCTGTGACACTGCAGGAATATTAAGTGCCGTAAATTAAGGATGCTTAATGTGATTATGCCGATTTGCACACCCAATTAGGTCTGGTAACTTTTTTTCCTGTGACCAGACGTCAGGATTTTGTTGACTTTTGACCTCGATACTCGATGGAGACAAAAAGGAGGCCTCTTAACTAAAAATATAAAAGTGTTCCCAGACTGCACACAACACCAGAGCCTCAGTCCACCGTTGTTCCATATTCCATTACATGGCCTAAGCTTTATGCTCCTAAATGGATTAGTGACTGAAGTGCACAGCAGAGCCAATGATGGCAGATGCAATACATAAAAAAAAAAAAAAAAACAATTTCCCCACCAAAGTGAAAGGATTGTTCTTGGGAGAGCTCATGTTAGGATTTGGGTAAAGCACAGATTGGAAATGTAACTGAGAATGTTTATTTGCGGGACTGAAAGGTTAGGGGTATTTATCTTGGCGGCTGCGCTCATTGGTTTGAGAGAACCAGCAGATGGAGGAAAGGCTATTTTGCTTGCTTTGCACTCGCTGGCTGGATTGGAGCAGCTCACTGTGTCACTCAGCATCACTCACACTCCTAAACCTCCTGATCCCACTTTCACCTCCCCTACCGTACACCCCCAGGTCAGGGCTCCATTGTAGATTAAACAGCTTTCTATTGAGGCAACAGGAGGAATAAAAATCCTGTTAGCATTGTCTGCTAACAGACGAGCTCATCACTATAGCTAAGCTATGGCAAGTAAATATAAAATAACTGTCATTTGTACTATGAATATTTCTGCAAACTAGGAAATATTATCCCTTCCTTTTAGTGTTTCTCGCTTTTTTTTTTCAATTTAGAAAACAAAATCCAAATGTTTCAACTGTAAACATTGATGAAAAGGCGTTTTTCTTTCTAGAAATAAACCATTTAATATTATCATCTTTAGTCCTCATTTTCTTAAGATTACTTTTTTATTTATTCTAAGGCTTGGTAATATTTTTCTCTTAGACTTGCAAACAAACATTTTATTCCGTAATATATGTTACCAAATATTTAAATGTTTAAAATTGTCATTTAGATAAAGATGTTTTTTAGGGATTATGAGTTATTTAGGTCACTACATTGATAAAACACCATATTTGCTCAACTAAGCTGAAAAGCTGTGTACAATAGTTTAGCAAGAGTTAATTATTTTACCATTTATTATTATTATTTTAGCTAATCAGCTGAAGTTTAGCTGTTTTTACATTCAAAATATTGTATTTACAGTAAACTTCCTGGTCATGGAGCATGAAGATTTTATTTTTTTATTATTTTATTTTATTAACTTATTTATTGGCAGCAAGTTTTCCAAAATACATTTGAATTTGTGATTAATTTTAATAAATAATAGTTTTGTTTGAGCATTTCATCAGTTACGAGAATAAAATGTTCTTGGTGTTTTTAGGTCTTTGAAGGCTAAAATAAATAAATAGATATTTTTGTTTTTGTGCCTCAATTTTTCAAAAAAAGGTGATAAATGTGTTAATGTTTCAACCAGAATTAGTTGCACTTAGCAGTTGTTGTTTTAATTTGTCTCTTTTTCTGTTTTTATTTTAACAGCTCTGAAAATGACTGCAGTTTGCTTGTGCTGTGATGTTAATAAACTAAAGTATCAAAAACCTAATTTATTTTGAGCTCTGGCCTGGACTCATAGCATCCCAAATATTTTGTTTGTTTGTGATGTTCACCATGATTTTCTCCAGCTTCCCTGCTACTAAAAGCAAACTTGTGTTAAACAAAATAAGTTCTCACCCATTACAGTGTGTGATTACACAAATCTGACCGTGTCCCCTCTTCTCTTCACCTGTTTTAATGATTGCTCTTGCTTTGTTTTTTATATACATTTATTTTTGTTTGTTTTTATATTTATATTTTTAAAAATTTGTCCAACAGGTATGATGAATCATCCTCCTATTCCTATCTCGGAGCTGGCCGAGCACACCGAGCTTCTCAAAGCTAACGACAACCTCAAACTCTCCCAGGAATATGAGGTGAGTGGGCCCAAGGTTCAAAGGTCAAATTATTGATTTCTGTCTGATTGTGATCCTTGTAAGATAATAAAACAGTTTGGTGTTTTGTAAAGCCACGTTTTTTCTTTGTATTGATGTTTGTTGCCTGTGGTGTTGCTGGTGGTTCTTGAGCAATTAGAGAAACAATTCATTGTTGTCACCTCTTTGTTTCTTCACATGTATTTGCACCTTCAACACGGTACAGCAGGTAAATCATCAAGTTAAAATCATGCTTTTTTTTCTTAGTTGTTAAATGTATCTTCTGAGCTGCCAAATGTGATTTTCCTTACAGTGTTTGGTTTATATAGAAATAAAAGTTTTATTGTAATCATGCACTTCTGCAGGATAAAACCTTTTTATTTAATCAGTTCAGTCCCACTGAGGTCACAGACCTGGGCCTGAAGGCAGACTAGCATGCATGTTTTTGGACTGTGGGAGGAAACTGGATGATGAAAACCCACGCTAACACAAGAAGAACATACAAACGCCACACAAAAAAAACTCCAGGTTCAAACCAAGGATTGATCCCAGGACCTTCTTGCTGTGAGGAAACTGTGCTAACAACTGATCCATCATGCTACCAGAAAAAGTCAAAGATGGCAGACAGAAATTGAAGATGGTATCTATTCATTGATGGAGACAAGTCTATTTTCTTAGCTCTATACTGCGAGCCAGGCTCGTGTGTGTGTTTAAGAGCAAATGTGTGTGTGTGTGAGGAGGGGGTAACCGAGCTGTCTGCTCTGAGTCCGCTGCGGTTATAAATGACACCAGAGTTGATTAGAAATCAGGAGCGCTGAATCAGCTCTCGTTTGCATACAAGCAATATTCCCCTCTCTTCGTCCTTAAATCACCGAGCCTGTCGCCTCGCGGCTCGACGGCCTAAAGTAGAAAGCGGGTACACCGGCACAGATTGCCGTCATCATTGCCGCTGGTGGATGTTGGTGGATAATGACTTCTCATCGTAATCTAGTATTTCTTGGGTATCTATTATTCAGGAATTGAGATCCGGACCATACACCAAATGGATAGGTTTGTTCCTCCGGGTGGGGAAGAGAGACATAATGCCAAAGTTACAACTTCTTGGTTTTGAGAGGATCTTAAAACAAACTTGCCAATTTCATATTTTTATCCTCTTTCTCCATGTCTGTCTGCCTGCAATTTGTTAACACAACCACACCCCTCCAACCTGGAAAAATAAATGACCAAATTAAATAGAGAAGTGTAATTTTAATTTTGTTATTTTCTTGATGAATGGCTGTTCGTCCCGGCGCCCCGGCTTGCCAAGCGCAGCTCTGTGGGGCTTTGACTGATTGGTTTTTAGCCAGGCGGTATGTGTGCAAGAGAGAGGAGGGGGAAATGGAGAGTAGACTGAGAAGAGCAGAGAGAGAGATGAGGTGGAGAGGCTCTTTTAATGAAGAAGATTCGCTGAGAGGAGATGGAGCAGGGCATCACAGCAGGGGAATGGAGATGAGGAGGCGATAATCTGCTGCACAAACGGCAACGATGAGACAACCAGACTTTTACCTGACGATGCTGAGGATGCTATCAGTCAGCCAAGAGCTAAAGTATGCAGCGCAAGCACTGTCTTCTCTGCAGGTTCTTGTGGCTTTTAAACACATTATCACCAATCAGAAGGAAAAGACAGGAAATATACAGACGGAATAAAAAAATAATAAAAATAATAATAATAAAATATATATATATATATATATATATATATATATATATATATATATATATATATATATATATATATATATATACACACACACACACACACACACACAAACACACACCATATTTTTCACCGTATAAGTCGTACCTTTTTGCATAAATTTGCAAGTCCTGCAACTTATACACTTAAGTGACTAATATACACGTTTTTCCCCACATTTATAATTTTTGGCTGAGGTCTGACGATTTCATTCATAAGACATAGAAAATATTGAACACTACCATTTTCAGCCACTAGAGGGCCCCTGAGGTATATGGCAAGCCAAGTGTCTCATCAATAATTAAAAGTGGCTATTAATTAGACACCGGGCTTGCCATACCAAGCCATCTTCATTTTGTATATTGCTTTGTGTGTTGTCTGTTGTTCTGTCTGTACAGCACTTTGGTTGGCCTTGTCGCTGTTTTAAGTGCTCTATAAATAAAATGGTATGGTATGGTATCTTCATCTCGCTCCTGAACTCCTGGAGAAAATGTCAAATCAGCTGCATTTCACTGCGCCACCCAGGCGAAATGCAGTTGATTTGACGATTAAACTGCATTTATAAGCGAAGCGACTTATTTATGGTTTTTTTCCACTTTATTAGAATTTTTTTGGACTTGTGCGACTTATACAGCGGCAAGTAATTAAAAATGATTCAAATGGACATCTGCCAAAACAGATAATGGTTTATTGAAAGAAAGAAAAAAAGAATGAAATGCTAACTACTGTGTTTTGTATTTATTTTTACTGAATGTTTCAGAAGAGGCCCACTAGTCATTTGTATGCATACAAGCACACAACATGCTTAAAGATAATTTAGAGAAACTCCAAAAATAAGAGAGTTGATGGAAGACTATGAAGCAGAAAGGGAGTGTAAGCATCAGGGAAGATGAAAAGGATAAACACGGAAGGCTTTAAAGACGAGATCATGGTGAGAAAAACAAGGACAGAGAAAAAGAAAGAGAAAAATATAACAGAAAGACGTGCTGCTGGAACCTGCTGAGTCTGAACCAAAGGAAGTGTCTCATTGTTATGACTACATGCAGAGTGTGTGGTAAAATAGGTTCAATTCTCCCTCCAGCCCCAGTTATAAATATCAGCTCAGCCTTGATCTCCGCAACAACTGAGCACCAAATTCCCAGGCAAACCAGTGGTAATGAGATGCTTAATTATCCTGAAAAGAGCCCATAAGATTTATCGCAAATTATTGTATTTTTTTAAAAAAGCTCCCTAATTTGTATTTCACAGATTGTCCAGCCTTGTTCCACGCTCCACCTATCATAGGCAGAGAGTTGCTACCTTGATCAATAGTGTTATCTGTCATTGTGCACCTGCTGCATTAGCAGCTGCCGTATTCAAAGCGTTCAGCAAGCAGATGTTGGAGATAGCCTGTTCCTTTTTCTTTAAGTGAAATCATTGTCTCGGTGTCTCTCTCCTCTCGCTAACACTGAATCAGTATTATTGCAGCTCGGCTCCTCTCACGGCTCCTCTGATTGCTTCTTCGTGTGTGCATGTTGTTGCTGTCTCTGCCTCCCATCAGTCTATTGATCCGGGCCAGCAGTTCACCTGGGAGCACTCCAACCTGGAGGTGAACAAGCCCAAAAATCGTTACGCCAACGTCATCGCCTACGACCACTCCCGTGTCATCCTGGCTCCTATTGATGGTAAGTTCACCCCCACACTCTGCACCTTCACTGATATTAACTCAGGGCTGGTTATCTGGGAAATATTTGCTCTTACTTCAAGTAATGAGTACTCTGTGCTTAGTATGCACATTATAGATGAGACAAAAATAATTTGTACTAATTCAGTTAATTAATGGAAGATTGCAATGTCTAAAATATAGCGAAAACAGTGTGTGTTATTGTATTTTGCAAGAACAAAATGGAGGATTGCAAAAACCAACAACAATTAGTTGTGATGTATGAAACAAATTAGAACTGAAACCAGGGGAATCTTTCAGAAAAGGTTTAGTTAGTTAAATCAACGAGGGAATGCGTGGAGCCAACGTTTGTTTTAAACTTAAGACTTGCTTCAGCTCAGCATGCATTTGTTCCAGCTACAGTTTACGCAACTGAGTTATTTATGGGTTGAAGTGTGGACTTGTTTCAGCTCATCGTTGTGCACAGCACTCACTTTTCTCACACGCAACCGAGATCCAGGACTTAAAGCAGCGTTCACAACATCCCATTTGTCTCATCAGATCTCCCCTTTGCTCCTGACTTTCCTTTAGCTGGCCATAGACACTGAGTACTCGGAATTTTAGAGCCAAAGGATCTCTTCCTCCAATTCCTAAATCCTAAGAGACATTGTCGGAGGTACTCACTCTTCACCGCTGACATTGTTCTGGCTCTGCATCACCAGAAGAGCCTTAGACTTTCCACAGTAATGCCAAACTCTGTTCTCCTGTAGACCTTTTATTTTATTTTTTTCCTATGGGAGCTAACTGCTCAGGCTAAATTTCAACGTTATGGAGCAGTCAGGCCAAATTGACAGTGCAACAGCATGCAAAGCAAAATTATCCCAAAGAAAAAGAATGCCTCGTCCATAAATGCATAAATTAATCAAGTCTGAAATTTCTATTTTACACTGCAGTGATTTTACCATTAGTTGCAGCAGCAGAACGATTCATGCACACCGCCATTCTCTGTTCACTTAGCTATGACTAAAGCCAATTCTCCTCAATCAACTTTTGCAACGTGGTATTCTTTTAATTACATTTTCTCCTTTTTTTTGGCCTTATTTACATTCTTTTTTTTTCCTTTTTCTCTAATCTCCCCTCTATTTGCTGTCGCTCCATTTCTCAGGTTTTTGTTATTATGCTCCTTCTCTCCTTCCTGGTTTTTGTCCGCGCCGAGTCTCATCTCTTAAATTAGCTCAGTCGAGTGTTTTATTGTTTGCTGCTTGAGTGAGGAGATGTCAGTCAGAGAGATGTGACTCTCCAACGCAGACTCCGTCTCACAGCGGTCTCATTTCAAATGGATGCATCATCCATGTGGGCTGAACAAAGATTGGTGGTGTTCCGTCTTATCACTGTCAGCTTCTCAGTGTTAGACGAACTCTAATCAAAAGATTATCTTGTTCTGGTTTAGAGCTTTTTTTTGATGAACAAGTTTAAATGACTGATTCTGTTGTGATCCTGCGCTATGCTTTCAGTTTAATGGCAGACGATCAGGGAGTGCAGGATTTTACCACAGCTATCACAGATGTGTATCATCACTGGACTTAACACTGCACCTTCTTGTACATCAACAGGACCAGCGTGCCACAAAAAATATTGGCATTTTGAAAGTGATGGGATTGGTTGTGATGTCATTGTTGTGTGGCCGATTTACTCCTCAGCGTTTACTTTTTAGCATTACGTCAGGCACAGACTTCTACACCATTTCCAGGGGAGTGGTGGTACAGAGATTAGAGAAGGTGGGCCTGTGATCGGAAGATCGCCGGTTTAAGCCCCCGGCACTGACAACATCAAAAATGTTGGTGGGGTAGATGAAGCACCCACACTTGCCCCCACCCTTATTCGCCCCACTCTGGGTCCATGAGCAAGGCCCTCAACCCCCATCTGCTCCCTGAAACAGGGACTACCTGTATAAATAAAGGGTAAATTGAAAAAAAAATTATATGGAAACCCAACAGCAGCAGCTGTAGACAAAAGAAAATTCTAAAACAAAAGCAGCACAGGTAAAAGTGAACGTTGGGCCATTAGTTAAGTCAAATGTATTCTATTTTCAAGGTTAAAAACAAAAAAAAAAAAAAAGAAAGAATGTGAGAGAGGTCTTAATGAGTTAAATCATTTGAGTTTGCGTAATTTTTACCGGCAGGGCGTTTTCTACATTTTTACACATTTGGTTTAATTGGATTAGAAACTGTCACTGCGTGTGAAAACCCAGAGGTACCGTGGCAGCTAGCACAAAACTAAAGGTGTTAATAAGGACCTAAAGGAAAATACAGAAACGGCTTAATAAACTAAATTATACATGGAAACTAACTAACCCCTTCAGAAGCAGTGCTTTCCTTTTTTTAAATATCATTCGTTTTGTTTCTTTCTAGGTATAACAGGTAGTGACTACATCAACGCCAACTACATTGATGGCTACAGGAAGCAAAATGCCTACATCGCCACCCAGGGTCCATTACCAGAAACGTTTGGGGACTTCTGGAGGATGGTGTGGGAACAGAGAACAGCAACTGTTGTCATGATGACCAGGCTGGAGGAGAAGTCACGGGTATGTCTGCTGTTACTGAGCTTCTGCTCTCCACTTTTTAAGGTTGTGTTCCTTTAAAAGCTTTCTAAAGGACTCAAGAAGCTTGAAGGAAAGCACAGTCAGTTTACCTGTGCACATTGGATGAGTTCTCTTCACAGATTTGGCTCGGTTTTCTCTGCATGTTTGCGATGCAAACAAAAAGTTATTGCATGTTCCCTATAGTGCATACTGGACACCAAGCTGCTTCACTCAAACTGCACAGTGCAGGAAATGAAAATTACATTTGAACCAAGTGATTGTCCTGGCATGTGAAGCAGAATCTGGGACTGAAACCTCCCACAACCATCTGTTGATGGTGGAAGTTGGAGGAAAATCGGCCGCAGAGCGATGTCTGGCATACTTTAGTTGTTTCATAGTAAGAATAATGTTTTTTGTCGTTTTTTTCTTGTTTTAGCCACATTTATTTACCAGGTTTCTTGCTACTTTAAAGATGAAAAGATTATGTTGTTTATGCATTAAAGTTAATTTACATCTCGTTCAAATACAATACTTTTTTTTTGCCAGTAGTGAAAATTCCCCAGAAAAACCCGTATTCTACTACCAAGTCTACAGTTATATGTTCATTTCAATATAGGCATGGAGGAAACATCAAAAAGCCAACTGTGATGACTTATCCTGTCAACTCAAACCTGCATCACCATCCAACTCCCTCACGCCAGGTGTCTCCGCTCATTCTTTTCTCCCCTCTGTCCCTTTTCAATTGTTTACTCATCTCTGTCCTGACATGCGCATTCCCCTTCTGTCAAACGTGATCAGGATTAGCGAGCGGTGGACTTTGAGTGTCAGCTTCAGTGAGAAATGGGAGGGAACCCTGGAAAGAAACGTGTACCCTTCCCTAGCTGTCACATTTCATCAGATGTTCATCAGCGCATCACACCCCTAAACTGAATGAATCTTTATTAGGTGGATGGAGGAACAGGTGTTGTGGTTTCAGATATACTATACTCCCACTGGACAAGAAAATGCCAATAATGATCACGAGCATAAGAAACCTGATTTGTTCAGAAATAAATCCTACATTTTACTATAGCTTCAGGTAGAACGCCATAGAGCTGAAATGATGGAAGCTATCATGTGCAGTGATTTATTCCCTTGGTTTTAAAAGCATGTGCTTCATGTTCCTGATAGATAGCTTTATTGAGGGATTTTTAAAAAATAAAAACAGGAAAGCAAATGAAAATAAGCTGTAGAAGAGGAGTTGCAGCAACACTCGTAGCTGTTCTGTGTTCATTAGCATTGCTCCTCAAAAAGTGCATTAGAAGAATACTGTGGTGTTTCTGTCATAACGGCCACTCAAGGGTTCGCTTTACGAGTGCTATAAGAGCGTTGATGTTTGTGTTGTCGATTTAGATTTTTCTGCACTGCCTCGTTTTCACGTCTGATCATTAGCTGAGGAATTATTTGATGGAATGTGACACATTGAAGCTAACACCTCGGTCTGTTCCTCTGCCCGTCTTCTTCTCTCCATCTCTCAGATTAAGTGTGACCAGTACTGGCCCAGTCGTGGCACAGAAACCTACGGCATGACGCAAGTGACCCTGCTGGACACCATAGAGTTGGCCACTTTCTGTGTCCGCACTTTCTCCCTGCACAAGGTAGGAGGACTTCTTTTTCCGCATGTATAGATTAACAAACGGGGTGCATTTTTATTTGGCAGTCAACACAGAAACTACACATGGCATCAAAAACATACCTTCTGGATATCAAAGTTCATGCTCAATAATCCAGGTAAAAAAAAATCCAACAATGTTCAGTCAGGTCATCTAGACGGTTTCTTTTTGTTGTTGTTGTTGTTGTTGAGATGTTTCATCCTTCGTCCAAAGGACTTCATCAGTCCGAAGAGCCACAGCAAACTTAGTCCCACAAGCAGCACTCTCACATAATGGACCAAGCAGTTTGCTGGTGGTAAGATGGTTTCTGGGGCCTGCCCTCTCCCCCGTCGACTCCTCTGAGGCAGCCACAGCCAAAGTGGGTCAAAACATTCATGCTCAATAATCCAGGTTAAAAAAAATCTAACATTCAGTCAGGTCATCTGGATGATTTTTTTTTTTATTTTGAGATGTTTTGTCCTTCATCCAAAAAGGACTTCATCAGTCCAAGGTGCCACAACAAAGTTGGTCCATTATGGGAGTGTGCTGCTTGTGGGACTAAGTTTGATGTGGCTCCTCGGACTGATGAAGTATTTTGGATGAAGGACAAAACATCTCAACAACAACAAAAAAAAAGAAACCGTCCAGATGACCTGACTGAACATTGTTGGATTTTTTTACCTGGATTATTGAGCATGAACTTTGATGTTTTGAATCACAGAAACCATCTTTTCACCAACAAACTGGTTGGTTCACTATAGAAGTGTGCTGCTTGTAGAACTAACCAATTTGCTGGTGATAAGATGGTTTCTGGGGCCTGCCCTCTTCCCCGTCGACTCCTCTGAGGCAGCCATAGCCAAAGTGGTTCTGGAAAGCCTTTAGATATTCTTTTTTGTCCAAGCAGTATCCAATCACCCTTTCAAGGACAAATAGGATTGTCTGTAAAGGTATCTAATTTTGCATTACAGGATACAACAGTTTTAATGTTCATTGCCTGCAAAGAGAAAAGAGGCATCTCCGGGTGTATCTTGGTAAAACAATTCAAAGTTCACACAGGCGACATAAAAAGAGGCTTTAAAGCTGGGCCGTTTTCCATTCAGTGCAAATTCAAACCGAAGAATAACTTGTTGTTTCTATTGTCTCTCCAATCCACTCCCCCATTTTACCTTGTTTAGCTCTGTCTCTCCTCAATAGATCATCTGTTTATGTGCATCTGCCAAATTGGAGCACTTAGGTAAAGTGAGCAGAAGCGAAACTCAATATACATAATTGGCAGACTGCTCTCATGCTTCTGTGTTTTAGCACAAAGACCGTCACAGAGCGCGCACGCAAATTCAAACACAAGCACATGCATTTACTCGCTCGTGTTCAGCTGAAACATGATGCTGTACACAAATAGGCACTCACGGTCGAGAACAACGCACGGACATGCACTGACATGCACACAGAGAGGGGGAAGAAACAAAAAGAAGCACTACATGTTGGCTCTATTTCACACATGCATCTTGTAATATTCTGAAGTCAAGGGTGGATTAAAAATGATCAAGTTGTTTCTCTTCACCATATAGCACCAGATACAGTAATAGCACTGCTGACTTTTAAACTGGATTGCCAGTAAAACAATGAACGTCCAGCTGAGCCAGTGGTGGTAAAGATAGAAACACATCAGCAGCCATAAAGCTTGAAGGTTGACATTCAAGCCCATTTTCATTCTGCAGCTCTGAGACTCTATTAAACCCACCGGTACAGTTATTTCCTGTCTGTCCTCTCCTTCTTTGCAATGCAGAGCTGTTGCTGTGATTTCTCACTCAGTGGTTCCCACTTTACTGGATTTATTGTAATATATAAGGGAGCAGAAGCAGGAAAAACACAGCAGCTGTGCACACACTGCATCTTCAAAGCAGCTGCTGGGGTGCCCACCTACTGTATACGGTTATCCTACAGTGATGCAGAATTGTATCTGCTGACAAATCCTTTAGAAAAGAAAATTCATTCTCAAGAAGAAAAAAAAAAAATTGCAGCAAGAAGTGAGTCCTGCTCGTGCAGCCTATCTCAGCTGCAGAAACACAGAATGTCAAGAGCAAAAAATAAATAAAGGAACTAGGTCAGTTTGCTTTTAATTACCACGCTCATTTATTCATTTATTCAGCAAGGAAAATTTTCCTTTCGTCAGGAAAAGCAGAAGCGCTGCAAAGAAAAAGCAAACAGTCCCTCTATTAAAGGATCTTATGAAAGTAAAGAGAGGACTGGAGGATGGAAACGATCTTAGGGTTATTTCATTTTCTCTCGTTTTCCTTCTACTGCAAAAAATAAAAATAAATAAATAAAAATCACCTTTCTCTGGATCCCATCATGCAGTTCTGATAATTAAAGTGTTGATTTTAAGATGCAAGCTCACTGTTAGTGGCAGCTATGTAAAGATGCGGTCTGTTTAAGATAATGATGACATCATAAACAACACTGCACCTAAATCTTTTTTAGACAGAGCAAAGCTGCAGAGCTTTTAGTCATTAACGTTACAAAAGCTTTTAATTGGAAATAATTCACAATGAATGACAAAAAACATGAATGTTTCTTCAAAATGATGAGTAAAATTTTGATAGACATTAGCAACACATTGAACTAGCATTATTTCAATTCAAAATTAACTTTTTCCTAATGAATATTATTAATTATTAGGTCTAATTTGTAAAAGTATGTCTTTCGCATTGACCAGCTGAGGTTAAGCTTTAAGTTCTCAGTAAAATGAAAACACTGTTTAGGGCTTTTTTTTAAATGAAATACACTTAAAGCAGGTATTTATAGATCAGCCACTTTTACTTTAAAGGTCATACCTCACTGCCATATCTAACATCTTTCTTTCCAGAACGGCTCGAGCGAGAAGCGGGAGGTTCGTCAGTTCCAGTTCACGGCGTGGCCTGACCACGGTGTGCCGGAGTACCCGACCCCATTCCTAGCCTTCCTCCGGAGGGTGAAGACTTGTAACCCGCCTGATGCCGGACCAATCATTGCTCATTGCAGGTCAGTACTCTTTTTAGGCTATTAGAGCTCTTCAGAACGTATTTTGATTTGCTCTCCAAACGAGATAACTGCTTTATGGAAATTTTAAATTGCTCTTGCACCTGCGGGGTATGATCTAACGACTATATATATATATATATATATATATATATATATATATATATATAATTATTTCTGTTTCTTTTATGTTCAAAAGGCAGACAGTGTGACAGCTCCCTACCTCTTGTACATTCTATAAAACATTACATAACAGACTTCATAGAGCACACACTCTCTTATGTCACCAGTCTTTTCTTTTGATTTTGGGTTCATCATTCTTCTCTCTGTGGCATCCTTTTAACTGTTGTCATTCTTCCTACCATTTTTTTTTTTGCTGTCAAATGTCACAGTAATCCCTCCCCACCTTTCCTGCCTCTCCATTTTTCCTCTCCATCTCCTCCTCCTTATGCAAGCTGTAGCTCTCAAATGGCTTATTTAAATTGAAAACCTTCTCTTTTTTTGTCAAGATAAGCAGACATGAGTGAGTCATAAGCACCACACAATAATTCAGAAGTTTGACATGTTGCCTTGCTGAGTCTCCATCACACTGCTAATGTTGTTCCATTTGTCATTTTTATTCCTTTCTTTTTTTGTTCCAAACGATCACAGTATCTCCCGGATTTCTCATGACCTCTGTTATTTAAACTATAACTAAAAATATATATAAACTTGCATGGATATACAGTTCTGGTCTTAAAATTAGAATTTCATGAAAAAGTTGATTTATTTCAGTAATTCCATTCAAAAAAGTGAAACTTGTATAATATATTCATTCATTGCACACAGACTGATACTGTATTTCTAATGTTTAATTATTTTAATGTTGATGATTATAACTGACAACTAATGAAAACCCCAAATTCAACATCTCAGAAAATTACAATATTGTGAAAAGGTTAAATATTTAAAGGCACCTGGTGCCACACTCTAATCAGCAAATTAACTCAAAACACTTGCAAAGGCCTTTAAATGGTCTTTCAGTCTTGTTCTGTAGGCTACACAATCATGGGGAAGACTGCTGACTTGACAGTTGTCCGAAAGATGATCATTGACACCTTGCACATGGAGAGCAAGACACAAAAAGGTCTTTGCTAAAGAAGCTGGCTATTCACAGAGCTCTGTGTCCAATCACATTAATAGAGGCGAAGGGAAGGAAATGATGTGGTAGGAAAAAAAAAGTATACAAGCAATAGGGATATCCACACCCTGGAGAGGATTGTGAAACAAAACCCATTCCAAAATGTGGGGGATATTCACAAAGAATGGACTGCAGCTGGAGTCAGTGCTTCAAGAACCACCATGCACAGATGTATGCAAGACATGGGTTTCAGCTGTCACAAACCTTGTGTCAAGCTACTCTTGAACAAGAGACAGCGTCAGAAGCGTCGAGCTCGGGCTAAAGACTAAAAGGATGGGACTGCTGCTGAGTTGTCCAAAGTTATGTTCTCTGATGAAAGTAAATTTGGCATTTTCTTTGGAAATCAAGGTCCCAGAGTCTGGAGGAAGCGAGGAGAGGAACAGAATCCACATTGCTTGAGGTCCAGTGTCAAGTTTCCAGTCAGTGATTGTTTGGGATGCCATGTCATCTGCTAGTGTTGGTCCACTGTGTTTTCTGTGGTCCAAGGACAACGTAGCCATCTACCAGGAAGTTTTAGAGCACTTCATGCTTCCTGCTGCTGATCAACTTTATGGAGATGCAGATTTCATTTTCCAACAGGGATTGGTACCTGCACACAGTGCCAAAGCTACCAGTACCTAAGGATTGAGTGCTGCTGTACATGCTCATACTTCTCATGTTCATACTTTTCAGTTGGCCAACATTTCTAAAAATCTTTTTTTTTAAATTGGTCTTAAGTAATATTCTAATTTTCTGAGAAACTGAATTTGGGGCTTTCATTAGTTGTCAGTTATAATCATCATCATTAAAATAAATAAACATTTGAAAAATATCAGTCTGTGTGTAATGAATGAATATAAAATACAAGTTTCACATTTTGAATGGAATTACTGAAATAAAATCAGCTTTTTCATGATAGTCTAATCTTATGACCAGCACTTATATAGACTTAACTGTATAAAGTAAATATTTGGCACCATAACACAATGAGAGTATTAAACAATAGAAATAAGAACAAAGACTGATTTCGCTTTACGTTTCAGTGCTGGTGTTGGCCGAACAGGCTGCTTTATAGTAATCGACGCCATGCTTGAGCGCATCAAGCACGAGAAGACGGTGGACATTTATGGCCATGTGACGCTGATGCGCTCGCAGCGGAACTACATGGTGCAGACAGAGGACCAGTACAGCTTCATTCACGATGCACTGCTGGAGGCGGTGGCCTGCGGGAACACTGAAGTGGCCGCCCGCAGCCTCTACTCCTACATCCAGAAGCTGGCCCAGGTGGAGAGCGGCGAGCACGTCACTGGGATGGAGCTAGAGTTCAAGGTACAGAAATGGACAATTTTTACACTGAATTCATGCGGTTATTCCCCTTTTTTAATAAAAAAATTACTTTTAAGCTTTACCCTTAAAACGCTGGGACACCTTGTTTATAGATTCTCTGCGTCTGTGAGTCACCTGACAAAAAGAGCTGACCTGTCTTTGTTTGAGACTAATGACTCAAATCAATAGAGCAACATTAGGTTTGTGTCACCCTAAAAGCTTTCTTAAAAAGCCTGGCTTCCCTTTTTTTCTCTCCAAAAAGTCATTTTGGCTGCAAATTCATTTATTTTTTTTTTTGTTATTTGCTGTGAGTTTAATTATTACACAGTCACTGGAGTAATCATGAATGTAGTACTCCCTACCACCTTGTGCATATTTGTCTTTTTTTTATATATATATTTGTGTATTTTGATCCTTTTTTTTATTATTTCATATGCATTTTTTTCTGTATAATTAGAATATGCTACTGGATGCCTTGAATTCCCCCCTGGGATTAATAAATTATCTATCTATCCCTCCATCCATCTAGCTATCCCTCTATACATCAATCCATCTATCCCTCCATCCATCCATAACAACAACAACAACAACAACAACAACAACAACAACAACAACAACAACACATTTTATTTGTATAGTGCTTTTCTAAATACTCAAAGACTCTTAAATCCATCCATCCATCCATCCATAAACTTAATTTAGCTATTTTACCAATCTAACCATATTTTTTGACAATTAACTTGGTTTTAGGCAAGTAGTGTTGACACTAAAATGTAAGATTAGAGAACAGTTCACAGCTAAACCTGGGAGAATGCATTCTAATAAAGTGATGCTGCACTCAAGAGCTAAACTCTCTCAAGGAAACTTTACTTGGAGTCAGACAATGGCTCAGACAAAAGCACATAATCTCATGGAGTTTGCCTTTTAATATAGAGACCTTCCTCTTGAAGATGCAATCCCTTTCAGCCCCAGATAGCAAGAACTTCAATTGAACTTCTTTTATTTGCATTTGCAGCAGCTTGTCAGTTTGTAGTTAGTAAAATTATAGACGCAACAACAAAAAACATTTAATTTACTGAATTAAATTTACTCACTTGAATTCTCAGGCTAAATATATATTAAATGAAATGTGCTTTTTCTAAAACTAAAAAAAATTAAAAATAGTTTTTTTTTAACCAATACTGATATTTTGTGGGAATTTGGACCAATACAAACAAGTAAACTGGGTTATTTTCTACATGGTTAAGAGGAAGGACTTGCATCTGCATTGAGGTCATAGAAACGCAGAAACTCATGACAAAGCAGGGCGTGAGGATAAACAATAAGGTATGTAGATATCCACCATGTATCTCAACAATCTTACAGTTAAGAACTCACCTCAGTCTGTGCTGCAGCCACTATCTGCTGACCTTGGACTGCATGCATTCTCATTTTCAAATCATCCGTCATCTTCACATCGCCATTTATCAGTGCAGCCTTCCTGCCAGCAAACAATAATATTGCTGGTGTGTTTCAACCTTGTTTTTTTGTTGTCGTTTTGTTTTTACTCTGGCACACACTCAAGTGAAGGAATACAGCGCAATTTGTAATGGGAGCAATGCTGAACTGGTGTCAGGATCCAAACTGGGATTAATAATGTTGGCATTACAGTCAAGACAGAAAGAGGAAGTTAGTGTGAAGAAGGCTAGGAGAGCTAAGTAATTAATCCTTGATTATGAAAAATAGAGGTAAGTGTAGCTAATGAGCGATGAAGCACTGCTATGCTAACTTGGACGCTAGGTGATTCCACAGAAAAGTGCATGATGGGAATCAGTTGGAAGATATTTTGGCTTTTGTGCTGAATGCAGCGTGCCGTAGAGTGAAGCCATGACTGGAAGAACTCACAAGTTGAGCAGAGAGAATAATTCCACTAGAAGGATTTGTGGTGAAGCTGTCAGGCAATCACTTTGTTGTATGCTGTATGTGCATGAATAACAAGTGTAATCACCAAACTATTTATGCACAAAACCCACTCGCAGAAACTATTCAGCAGAGTTTAGAACATGAATTACAACACAAACAGAAAGACGCTAGCAGGCTGCTGGGATCCATTTCTAATTAAACAGCACAGGAACTGTTTGGAATTCACCCGTTGAGTTTTAATTTGGATCCAAATGCAAACAGGAAGACAAAGATTCTGCTATTTGAGTTTTACCAGAACTGATGCTGGCAATTCCCAACAAGTTTACAACATAATCCTCCTTAACACAACCCAGAACACAATGCAGAAAAGAAAACTAGGTTTGTAAAATTCTAATGAGAGATGTGTAATAAATGCCATACATAATCCAGTATATTTGAGTATAGCTGTAAAAATTTGCATACTTCAAATTGAATTTTTGGAAGGCGAGATCAAGAATTTTATTACCTCCTGAGAATTTCTACTTTAATCGGGGATTGTTTGATTTTTATTGTTTGGGTTTTCTATGGGGCAGCACGGTGGCGCAACTGGTAGAGCTGCTGCCTCTCAGTGAGCAGGTCCCTGGTTCAAACCCCGGTCCAGGGGCCTTTCTGGGTGGAGTTTGCATGTTCTCTCCGTGCATGCGTGGGTTTTCTCCGGGTACTCCGGTTTCCTCCCACATACCAAAAACATGCATGTTAGGCTGAATGGTAACTCTAAATTGTCCCTAGGTGTGAGTGAGAGAGTGAATGGTTGTTTGTCTCGTTTGTCTCTATGTGGCCCTGTGATGGACTTGCGACCCATCCAGGGTGTACCCCGCCCCTCGCACAGTGATTGCTGGACATGGGCACCAGCGACCCCCGTGACCCAAAATGGAATAAGCGGGTAAAGATAATGGATGGATGGATGGATGGGTTTTCTATGTCAATTTATTTTATATCTTATATTTGACTTGATTTTTTTGATACCAACATACTTAAAACTAAGGGTGCACCGATCAATCGGCCGGATGATTTATCGGTCAAGATTTCCTTAATTTTGGGAGATCAGCCGATACTTATGAGAAACTGATTTTACAGATTTTTTTGTAGTTTTAACAACAATTGTCTAAACTTCTTTTATATTTCAGAGCACTACCTCATAGTTAAAACAAGTTTGTATTGTTTCTAGGATATTGTTCAAGGGTATGTTTTTCAATAAAATAAGATTGGAAAATTGAAGGTGCATTGTGTAACACCTGACAGTGTCGCTTATAAAACAAAATCAGCATTGGCCAAAATCGGAATCGGCAGGTCAGACTTTTTAGAGTTGGGTGATCAGCCAGAAAACTGCAATCGGTGCACCCCAACCTAGAACATGAGCCCAAACCATGACAGAAAGATGTTTTTTTGTGACTGTGTACAACAGATTTTCTCTGCATCTCCCTTTGTTAATTGCAGCCAACATGTTCTTTGTTACTTCATCAGCTCACATGACTTGTAACCTGTGATAATTCATCAGGTTTGTTCAGATTCTGTCTCTGAATATCATGGTGGGGGATGCAGGAATGGTTTGATTCTCATGGTGGTTAATTTTACTCAACTGTCTGCACACAAAGTGCACTACCATTTCAAAGTCTGTTAAATTTTGTGAATGGGAGTTTAATTTGCCCTTCAAGCAATCCTATAACTATTTCTCCTGGAAAGATTTCTCCGTTTTCCAGAACTCAACTTGACTTTTAGAATTTCTGCACAAAAAAAAATAATAATAATAATAACTGAGTTACAAACTAATAAAATGTATTGTTGAGAATCTTTGGGTATCATCTTATAACCATTCATAGGCATACATTATTTTAGGTTTTGCAGTTGCTGACTGTCTTTTCTTCGTTTTAAGAGTCATGTCTAATTCTTAGAAAATCACCCTGACAGGCCTTTAATGATCACAATTAAAAAGTCCTAACAAGCTAAAGTCAAATAAATTGGTGAAAGTTGTCAGAGAACTTAAAACTTTTGTACTTTTGAAGTGTTGTTCTTTTGTTCTAGTTGAAAATAAGTTTTTAAGCACATCAAAGTTCATCCTCAATAATCCAGGTAGAAAATCCAACAAAGTTCAGTCAGGTCATCTGGATGGTTTCTTTTGTTGTTGAGACGTTTCATCCTTCATCCAAAGGACTTCATCAGTCCAAGGAGCCACAACACTTGAACCACTTTGGCTATGGCTGCCTCAGAGAAGTCGACAGGGGAGAGGGTGGGCCCCAGAAACCATCTTATTACCAGCAAACTTGTTTGTCCACTATGTGGGTTTGCTACTTCTGGGACTCAGTTTGTTGTGGCTCCTCGGACTGATGAAGTCCTTTGGATGAAGGATGAAATGTCTCAACAACAAAAGAAACAGCCCAGATGACCTGACTGAACTAAATTTGAGTTTTTAAGGAGTTGATCAAATACATTACCATCTTAAACCAACCAAGTGATGCTACAAATATAAGTAAAGCATAATATGATGGTGCATCATCCCTCACTCGTTTAGCCCACCATCCAGCTGACCAAACATACTGTACTGTTAAAGGGAAGAAACTGGCAGTCCTGACTAGAAAGTATCAAGCCTTGCAGCTTGGCAGGCTCCCTGCACACTCTCTGGTGTTTGGTGTTGTAGCTGAGGCCCTCTTTAACAGCGCCAGATCTGCTCAAGCCTTTTCCAGGTGCTTATGTGTTAAACAGATCAAAAAGAAAACCATTGAAAGAAACAAAATCAAGTGAGGAGAAGGAAAATTCTGGATGAACCTCTGACCAAAAGGACAACTGTACAAATGTTTAAGAGCAAAAGCAAAGAATGAGAACAAAAACAATATTTAATAGTATTTGGTGCAGACGAGAGAAGATATTTGTGTATTTTGACAACCATGCAAAGTATAGAAACTGACAAAGCTGTGTATTATTTGATGCCTAACGAGCAAACACACACAACCCAAACTCAATGTTGAAGCACTGAAGTCTGTAAAATGTGATTGTTGAAACTGCTGACCCCCAGATCTCCCTTTGAGTTTGTAATGACAGTGGTGATGTTGCAGTATCGTGTTTTTGTTTTGATAACTGTACTGTGTCTCTGTGTGAGTTTCCCTGTTTTATGTGCACAGAACACGCTGCCATTATCAAAGGCACCAGTGACCCACTTTCAGGGGGTTTCTTTTTCATACAGATTTGATGCAGAGGCTTGTTAGTCAGTGTGCATGGCAATTTTTTTCCTCTTCTGACCCTGACGGACCTCATAATTTGCAAATGGAGGACCAACTTTTAGAATATGCTGCTTGTATTTTTGAATAAATAATATTGCTTTGAAGTTGTGCTGTTGTCACCTAAATATGAATAAGATCGGGTTCAGATTGGGCCTGCTTTGTTGTTTTCTTTTCTTGATATTCTGCACTTTTTTAATCCATCTAGCACCTGTTTCCATCACCCTCCTTCTCTGTTTTTATTTAATCATCCTCCACTGGTCTCTCTCCTCCATAACCTCATATCTTTTCTATTCTTTTTGGGAACTCTCTGTCCATTACCAGTTCCTTCGTTCTTCTTCCCACCTCGGTCCTTCCTTTTAAACACATTTCCCTCTCCTCTATATTGCTCCATCATTCTCTCATCAAGCCATTCTTCTTTTAAAGTAATAAACTGTCTCCCCATCGTTCCTCACCAGCGTTTGGCCAACTCCAAAGCCCATACATCACGCTTCATCAGTGCCAACCTTCCCTGCAACAAGTTTAAGAACCGGCTGGTCAACATCATGCCCTACGAGACCACACGTGTCTGCCTGCAGCCAATCAGAGGCCTGGAAGGCTCCGATTACATCAATGCCAGCTTCATTGATGGATACAGGTAGGAGAGATGTGACTGTAAGAAACATGAGTATAAGTTGTGTGAAAGTTTGGTTTTTGTGCCACCAAAAGGAAGTTTGTAATATTTAAAGTTTTGTGTGAACTTTGTCAGTTGTGTTTTAAATTAAACTTTTTTTTTTTTCTTTTTATTATGGCTCTATTATAAACAGGCAGCAGAAGGCTTACATCGCCACACAAGGGCCTCTAGCAGAGACGACAGAAGACTTCTGGAGAATGCTCTGGGAGAACAATTCCACTATTGTAGTCATGTTGACCAAACTTAGAGAAATGGGACGGGTAAGGCTTGAATTTTTGGTCAAGTTTCAGTCTGGCATTAAAACAAAAATGGTAAGATCTTCTGACCGAATTGTTCTCACAGGAAAAATGTCACCAGTACTGGCCAGCAGAGCGCTCCGCCAGGTATCAGTACTTTGTGGTGGATCCTATGGCTGAATACAACATGCCTCAGTACATCCTCCGGGAGTTCAAGGTCACAGATGCCAGAGTAAGACATTAAGTATTTTGGGTGTTATTTGTTGGTTTAAGTTGATGCAATAAATTAGCATTTTAAATGCCATGTTAAGCCTATTGCACTATCCCGTAAAACCTTTATTATATTGATGTTGCATCTCAGGTGGTTACTACAGCCAGCAGAGACAATAGGTTCTTGCTAGATGAGCTTTGCATGTGATGGTCCATCTGTAAAACTTCAAACTTCCTATTTTTTTTATTTATTTAAGTCAAATTACATAAACTGAAAGACATTTTGACTTTTGAGCAAATGCACCATGCACAAGTGGAGAACAGCTAAAAAAAAATGTATCTACGGTAATATGATTCTATTAAAAAAAGTTAATGCAACAATTTCATGTTTTTGGCATCTTAAATAAAAATGCCTGCAGTGACCAGTAATGTAGCAATTTGCATGTTTTCTAATGATTGTTCCAAAATTAAACAGGCTGAGAATAGTTTGGGTAAAAAATAATGACAACTTATTATTATTATTTCCCTCTTCAGACTTTATAATAATGCTTTAAGACTGTAATTTTCTTCTGTATTTAAGTTGATTCATATGAAGCCAGACTTTGCTGTAGCTTTAATAATAAGAGTCCATGACCAGAGTGACTTTTATTAAAGGTGACATGTATGAAACCTGTTTCACACCACCTGAATTATCTCTTTACCACAGGATCTTTTTTCCTTTGTTGCAATTAAATTTGACAACTTGAAACAGCAGAAGTGTAGCAAATAAAAGAAAATGTTTCTTTCTTTTCTTCCAAAAACTGCCTAACTTACTCAAAGTTTTACTCAAAATCGATGTGGCAGGTAGTTGCTGTATCATTAATTTGGTTGATATTTGAATAAGCCTATGCATTGTCTTGCATACACAAACTGGTAACAGTCTAAAATTTAAGAATGAGTCAGAATATCAGCAACATGTGCAGTCATTCATGTGCACAGGAACACTTTTCTTAAATACATAACCTGATGCAGTGTGTAATATGTCTCCAAACAGGCTCCCATAAGCACACACACACAAATGTGCACATGCTACAGGGCAATCTCAATGCTAACTTTGCATGCAGTGTCAGATATTGTACATTAACATGTATTCATGCAAGCAGTTTCCCCAACATAGCGTATTTTCTTAAGGACTGGTCAGCGTTTTACATTTTACAGCATTAAAGCAGGCTGAATCACCAAAGTGCTCACCAGCACCAACAAAAAGTCTAATCTTATCACATGTATGGAAACAAAGCGGAGAGATGCAGATGGTAGTGTAGCGTAGGGTTTAATATTGGGCTGTGCATGTGTGAGTGGTATATGTTTTACAAGCCCCAACTCCCTTTTACTGAGTGTGTGTGCAAGTAAAAAGTGTTTGTAAAGTTGGCTTTAACAGCAGGTACCGTCAATCAGATGCATGCTTGTGCTTTTGCACAAAACTGTCTGTGTTGTCACAAACGCCTGCACAGTAATAGCATAGACTTCATGCAGTAATGGCATAGACTCCACGCCTCAGCACTCACATCTACAGAGCCAGTCACGTATTTAATCACACAATTTGACACGCCGTGTGAGCCCCCAGGTTGTGTGTTAAATTTTCCTCTTTTTTTTTTTACATTTTCTTTTCCCTCCACATTTTCTTTGGCATGCTTGGTTTATTGTGTTGTTGTCTTTGCCCCTTTCTTTCATTTTTAATCCCCCCACTGAGGCTAAATGTTTTTGAGAGAAACAACAAAGACACCAATAGAAAGAAAACATATGTTGTGTCTTGGAACAGCAAAAGAAACATGATATGATTAACAAGAGGAGTCAGTACGTGCAGCTTGACTTATTAGAATCACGGTATTTGTCAAGTACAATAATGGAGAGGAGTGCATCTTGGTAGAAGCAAAGCAGAAACTTGTTTGCAATGGACAACTTGTAGGTACAGTCAATGCACAGATAGGCCTGTCGCGATAAACAATAAATCAATTAATCGCATGATAAATGAAAATTATCTACCTCGTTTTCATTTATCAGCTTTATTGTTTCTTCGTGTCTCTCTCTTTCTGAAGACACTGGATGACCAAAAGCTCCATTCTGGTGTTCTTCACTGACCCCTCCCTTTCTCTGTAAAATTCATTTTAACTATCCAAAATTGCATTTTTTTGGATTGTTAAAAAGTAGCTAAGCTGAGAAGCTAAGTTACGAGCTAAGCCAACAGGCTGACCTCGGGAAAAAAAACTCTGTCTTGTCAAAGCTCCAAAATTCATGGTTGAAACCCGTGGCTTCGTGTAAACGTTTTTCTCTGCAAAAAGAAGCTGAGAACTTGTTTGCCGATTTTTATTAAAAGCGTTGTGTGAAAAATGCTATGCTAAAGAGCTCAAACCAGACCGAGTGTCCGCCATTTTGAGAACCAAAGCGAGACAGCCCATGTCATGTCAAGGGGCCTCCCTCCCATTTTTCTTAAAGAGACACGCTGCTCGCTCCCTCACTATCCATCTTTCGGTTCAAACAGTGTTATACTGCCATCCAGTGGTTGAAAAAAAGGTACCACTTGCAAAATAAATAAACAATTCTTCTTAAATTTGTCAATAATTACTAATTATTGTCAACTTTCAAACAATATTATCGTTTATCGTAATAATTTCTGAGACAATCGCCCAGCAAAATTTGTTATTGTGACAGGCCTATGCACAGATTGGTTATATTTTCAAAAATGCATTAACTACATACTATAAAGTCACCGTACGGGTATCATTTGCATGTTTCCTGTTGGCAGTAGAAAGAATTTATTAGCTTATGCCAAAAATCCAGAAGGCTAAAGGGAGAATCTAAAGCAAGTACTTGTCTTCCTGAAAATATCTGATAATATTGGGCTCATTTTTGTTGCAGTCATGCAGCAATTTCTATGTTTTTAAAAATGAAAAACCTTAAAAACAGAAACAGGTCAAGATATGGAGTCACTTGCAGTATATGAAGGCTGGTTGTTATGAAATTTGTTTATTCTACTTTTTTATTTATGAAGTACTTTGTAAATGACTGTGCAAGAATATTTAAAATACCGTTTTTCTCAATGTAGATGTTTGAGTCAGATTCTAAAGAAACTAAACTACTCTTGACATTTTGTTTGCTTGTTTAGCTTTCGTCTTTGTCCTGCTAAAAAGCAGAAATACCAACATAAATGCTAAAATATTAATGTGACACCAGTAGGTAACAATAAAGACATAATAAGGATGCCCAGGACATTCTTGTAAGAGATTAATAATCTCAGTGGATTTATTTCCTGGTAAAATAAAAGGTTTAAATAAAAAAATAATAATCAGAATCAGAATTAGACTTTATTGTCATTGCACCGAAGTGCAACAAAATTACATTTCAGTACAGTCCGTCCGAGAGAAACAAACAGACATGGGGAGACAGAGGTGACTGAGGTTGCTGGTCTCGAGACGCGGCCCTTTTTTCAGATAAGGAAAAAGAAACACGAGGGGGAGTGTAGGTGTGAAAAAAGACAGTGTGAAAGTTACAAAAAAATGACCTAAGCACATAAAACAGCAACATACTGATGACATCATAAGCAGAGCTTCTTGTTCGCATGATATGTAGTGAGAGGCTCCGATAGGAATCACAAGGCAAAGCAGGAGGGAAGAGTGTCCATCCTCATCTAGAGCAAACAGAATGAAGTCTTAATTAAATATAAATGAACATTTAGATCAAGAGTAAAATTCTCTAATAACAACAGAAGCTTTTTCCCTCGGACACCATTACCCATTTCACTTCAGTGATAACCTTGTAGAGCAAATGGTCAAAATTTAATAGTGACAACAGCTAGAAGTTGAAAAAAAAACATAACTGCCTTCATTGTACAAAGCCATTGTTTGCACGAAATAAATGGGCTACTTGTTTCCTCACAATCTTCTTTCTTCAAGTATACAATAATACACAACTGTTTTTAAAAATTTCCACCTGGGAAAGAGTTTGTCAAAATCTCACTATTTCTCAACAAATGTGTCACTTACCTGTGTATTAGAGGTGCAAACACAAATAAATCTTCTGCAAATAACTACTGTATCTTAGTGTAGCCATCGCCCAAATGCACGTGCAGAATCTGTAATTATTTTACCACCTAAAACCAGCCCAGTTTACAGCTGACGATTTACCCGACAGTGCACTTCTGGTGCGATTTAAATGGAAGGAGGATGTGCGAGAATGACAGAAAATGTGAAGTGTAGTCTGTTGTGTGGAGAGGTGAGAAACAACTAGAGAAATGAACACCTGGTTGTCTTAATTACTGGTGGCTTCAAGCGGAGAGTCTGTGTGTGCAAAACTGCTTGTCTCGGCTGACTTTCTTGGCTAATTTGTTCTCCCTGTGACAACTTGAAAAGAAGTTTCGTTACAAGGACACAAGTATTGACTGTGCACTTGCAGACTGTATAATAAGCTCTCTGAAAACAAAGCAGATCTCTCCCCTTGTCCTCCATGCAACCCTGCTTTAGTGGGAGCATTTTTTAAAGAAATTTGAATTGCATGGAAAGCCATTTCTGCTGCCTCATCTATAAAGCTGCATTACAGGACATAGTATATGTTAAGTGTTGTTTTTTAGCTTGCATGTTGTTTTATTGCCCGATCTTTTCTCCTGCGATGTTCTTGCTTCTTACCGCCTTCGCTCTGCTCGTCTATCAAGCTGCCTTATTGATCGCAACGCAGGATTATCCTATTCAACACGGGCCTCTCGAAGAAGCCACTTGTCGCAGCAGATACACTATCGATTAGTTTACCAGAACCATATTTGTGACATATACACACACACATAAACACACAGTAGAGAAGAAAATGGAAAGAATCTGGTTGGAGGTTAATGAACTTCTTTTTTTCTCCCACGGAGCACGAGCGTATGACTTTAGCTTTATAAAATGTATATATATATATATATAAAGGGTCTTCTTCACTTTATACCAGTGCTGTGTTTAAGAACATGCAGTGTGTAAGTTGGTTTGGCTTTAAACACACCTTTAATTTCTGCACATTTCCTATAATCTCCATTCATTTTGTTTTTTTTCTTCTCCTGCCATTTACAGGATGGCCAGTCCAGGACAGTAAGACAGTTCCAGTTCACTGACTGGCCAGAACAAGGTGTGCCCAAATCCGGGGAGGGTTTCATCGATTTTATTGGCCAGGTCCATAAAACCAAGGAGCAGTTTGGACAGGATGGGCCTATCTCTGTCCACTGCAGGTAAGGTGTCTGCATGCCATGCTGCACATTAAACATTAAAAGAAGTGTGATTTAGCTTTGCTTCCAGCTGAGCTCCAAACACGGACTTTTCATCCCGAGAGATAAAAGACGAAGTATCAAGGCCAGATTAAATCACTTCTTCAGATGGTTATTGTTTGGCTGTGCAGTTCATCCTGAGGTGCAGCTCCAACTACATCACTAGACATAATTCCTCCTCCTTTTTTCTACTACCAGGAGTGCTACCTTTGCAATTCAACAGGCCCACCTCCTCCATATTTAATAATGCTCAGATGTGACTTGGCATTTGCAAAGAACAGACCCATACAATGATCAGGCCATTCTTTTGGTTTTATGATCACTTCATGAAGCTTTTTTTATGACTTTTAATGTAGCGTTCAAGGTCACTTACATCATTAACGACATTCTCACTGAAATTTGCAGAAATCTGTATTTGGCCATGTTCACCACTTGGACCTCAGATTCTTTATATTAATTAAACAGGATCCATCTGAGTAAGTAACTTTCTGTAGGGTTACAATAAACATTGTTCGTACTTTTGATTTTGCAGAACAGACAGAGCAAAGTGATGAAACTGGTATCCTAATAGAGACAACCAATTTTTCGATGAGCGTATACATGTCACATTAAAAAATCTTTTTCTTTCTCATAAAAATATAGGACTTATTTTGAACAGAGTGTTCCTTTTGCTCCACACACACACCTAGACACCATTACATCATCAGGCATGACATCAGCTCTTTGGTTTAAAAGAAATGAAAATGATGTTATTCGGTTAGAAAATGGCCCTCTGGGACTTGTAATGTGTGTAAGGGAAACTCCAATAAGACTGAGTTATTTTACCTTTCTATGAGGCTGTAATTGGAAGGAGGGGGAGCGGTCGTTCTGTGTGTGGTTTAGTTATTGCAGGACTGGAGTAACGGACAAAAGGACTTTCAGCCTGTTAAAAGGCAGAAAGTCACATGACCACTCTTTATACTGCAGCTTAATGAACAGTTTAGGGATTCTGAACACGTCTAAATGAACGTGGTTCAGTGTTTTGGAGACGTAAACACACTCCGAACCAATCAGATTTAGGCTCCCACGATTCAACCAAAAACTCTTTCCAAAAAATTAGTTTTTTTCTTGCGCTTTTTAAAAAAAATGAACGTAAGATTATCAACATACATGTTTATTGCTGTCGACTCGGCCACAGACAGGTGTCTGCAGGCCAATACGTCTTTTTTCAGAAAGATTTTCCTTTGAAGGAGTGATATTGATTGTTTTTATTCGTCAGTACAGCAGCCACCTCTTGGATTTTCTTTTTATTTCCCTCCTTTCCAAAGCTTTATCTCAAAGAGAAGAGCTTATGTTTTGCTTTTCTCTTACTCTTTCGTTTTCTATCACCAGAATTTCTCGTCTGTCATCTGCCTTTTCCCTAATCCATTTGGTCCCCCCCCCCCTCCCTATCCATCCATTCTCCTAGACCCCTTTTCTCTCCCTCCCCTTTCTCCTCCTCGTCTCTCTTCCTCGGCCTCTATCTAATATGCCCACATGCTTTTTGTCATTAATTGCATGATTACTTCCTGCGAATGGGGACATGAAATCCTCTCAGCCTGCAGTGGCTCGTCGAGCTTTAAGATTTGGATCGAAGGAGGTTGAAAAGGGAAAGAGGAGCTTGGAGTGAGTTTAAGAGCCCATGTGTCGAGCTGAGAGCGACTCCCAGGAAGCAGCTTTGGGTGGGCTAAGAGATAGCGCTGCGTGCTGGGGTGATAGTATGTTCTGCACGATTAGACTACAGTGTTTGTTATCATTGAAATTGAGTCAAACGATACAAGCTACCTTTGTCCTCCACATACACACAGGCAGTTGGTGGCACATATAAGCCAGAAGTGTCTGCCGCTATCAGTTTCGCTCCTCTTTCAACGAAGTGGCATCAGAGGCTGGAAAAAGCTCCAATAAATCTGTTGTCACATCAATTATTGTTCCATTGGTGATGTGGAAGTCATTTCACTGCAAAGCAGCTTAAAGAGGCAACTCTCAAGTATTGCACGATCCAAGTTAAGACTCAGACTTTATTTCTCAGAAGCAGCAGCAGCCTGAGGTTCTTTTTTTTTTTTTTTTGGCGCATGGAAGGAGGGGCTTAATAAGACTGGATGTTGTTTGTGTGTCAAAGTAATTTGGGATGCGTGCATACGTTTGTGTCCTTCAGGACAAAACTGCATGCACACGTGTAAGTAGATTCGCAGGGTTCTTGCATGCAAATTGTCTCCTTGCCGTCACCGTTCATGTTAACTTGCAGAGGAAATGTTTGGGCGTTGAACGCTGCTTCTTTTGCGATGTCAGAGCTGCCAATACAGAACATGCATTTTATAGAAGATGCTGGTGTAATACCCAGACATTGACCAATTAGGGTTTTCAATGGCTAATGCCAGAGACAGTTTTGGAATACCAATGAACGATTTATGCTTTGCTTGTTTGTTTGTTTTAACAATAAATATTAAAAAAAAAAACCTTTCATAGTCACACACATTCAACTTACTAAATTTTGGGTAAAATAAATAAATAAAAACAATTGCCTGTGATTCACTGATTTTGCCTGAGTTAGATATGAATCAGGACACGTTTCTGCTACATGCCCTGCGTTTTACTGAATGCATCCTGCATGCAGTTCAAAGCTAACAAAGTTTTCATATTTTGTTTCTAAAAGTAACATTTTATGTCATTTTCCTAGGTGAATAAAAAAAATATATTCTTTTAAAAAGTTAACCTATTCTTTTGAAGTCTACTCATGTTGTGCCAACAAAACACCCCTGCTGTGAAAGTGCCTTTCACAGCTGGGGTGTGATTGACAGCAGATATTGTGTGCTGCCCTAAAGATGTGCCTGCCTAATAACCGGCTCGGTATGCTCAGGTGTGACTGATGCCAGTATTCTTTAAAGTAGCAAAAATGTTGGTCTAATTAATTGTCCGACCTGTCAGTCAGTCTACCTGTGATCAAATCATGTCAAGTCTAATGTGGATTTTAAAATCGCTGTTTAGAACACAAGAAAAAGAAAATATCTTGGTACATAGAAAGTTGTTTTTCTGAATCCCATTCTTTGCGTTTGTGCTTCAGACATAAATAATATACGTATTGATTCGCAGTTTGCTTGTTTTTCTAGTGCTGGAGTAGGGAGGACAGGAGTCTTCATCACCCTCAGTATCGTCTTGGAGAGAATGCGCTACGAAGGTGTTGTTGATATCTTCCAAACAGTGAAGATGCTCCGGACGCAAAGGCCAGCTATGGTCCAGACTGAGGTCGGACATCACACAACTAAACTTTCTTCAGTTTCATTTCTCTTTAATTTGAAGTTTTCTAAAATCACTGTAGCAACTTTATTCTTTCATGTTATACATTTATGTTTTTTTTTTTTTTTATTATTCTGCAGGATGAGTACCAATTCTGCTATCACGCAGCACTGGAGTACTTAGGAAGCTTTGATCACTATGCAACGTAAAAAGCCATCTCTTCCCCCAGAATCCTGTTGCCCCACCTTCGCCCAACTCAACAGTTTCCTGAGCCATAGAAACTTTGAAATCTGAAACAGCAGCTGGTAATTCTGCCACTTCTCTAATTCAGACGCGCCAAACAGGATGCAGTAAAAAAAAAAAATAATTGTTAAAAACACCCAAAAACAAGCAGTTAAAGATTAATTCCAATTGCAACAAAAAGGACAATTTGCTCATAACTTTAATGAATAAAGATTTTCAGCAAGGAGTAACCAGAAGCTGTGGCTCAGTCTGTGGGGCGGGTCATCGGTCCAAGTGTCAGACTGCTTACCTTACCTCAAGTGTTTTAATGTGGAGGACGTTGTAAACATTCGTGGACGTTTCTCTTTTCAAAAATATCTTTGTGATACGGCAGTGAACAAGCAACAGGTAACGAAGGAAAAAGGAAGCAAAAAGCAAACAAAAAAAATCATCAAGAAGCAGATGGATGTAGCCAAGACTGGGAAATATGCTTGTTTTGGATGTGAAGAAAAAAAAAAAAGTATTTCTAACAACTATTTTTTGTGAGTGTTATTCAACAAAATGGCCAAATTGCAGCCACCTATGTAAACACAACTGGCTTTGCCCCAAATCATCGACGGAACAAGAACGCTCACATTTGGCAGTAAAAACAGCGACGTTCCACTTATATTATGCATAGCTCGTGCGGAAAGCTCAACAATTACAGTAAACATCAGTAAACTGCCTGTTAAGCCCGAAAAGTTTTAAACGGCCTTCCCAGTTGTTTTCAAATAGAACATATACAACTTGTTTGTTCTATGAACTGTGAACTTGCATTAAATCTGTATTCTAGGCCAGTTAACCAGAATAACGTTGAAAAGTATATTTACAGTGACGTTCATGTTTCAGTGAACTGATGAATCAAGACAGAAACATCTGTGGGAACAAAGCGTTGACTTGGTTTCTTGCTGGATGTTGGAAGTGAGAAATGGCAACGTTGTCCCGGGATCTTTATTTTATTTTTTTTTTACAATTCCTTCTCTTTGGAACCGCGGGGCGGCAGCATCAACATTCACCATCTGGTGGGGTAAAAGGCTTTGGAACAAACGGACAAACTAAACAAGGAACGCCACGAAGTCGAGGCTTTCTTTGTGTACAGTGACCAGTGCTCATCGTCTGTTTGGAGGACAAAACCTGTTATTGTTCTTTCTTATTTTCCCCATTTCTTTTCCGTTTAATCTTCTGTCAAAACCAAACATGCTGCTTCTCTCGTGTATGCTGTACATGTGACTCTTGAAGAAGAGGAAACTGATGGACAAAATACAAACAAATCCCAGCTCTGCTAACTCCTTGCTCCCAGGTGGGCATGACAGAAAGCGCATCCACACGACGTCATCGTTCACCGCTGCTTCTTCTTCTTTTGATTTCTTTTTTTTTTTGTATTTTTTTTTAATGAGCCTCCTCTATAATCATCTGTATCATTGTACAAGATGCTCGAAAGTGACAAAAGCCTTTTGCAATTACAGAATTGTACATTAATGTGGTTGATGAATTGGCCCCTGGTATCGCTGTATGTGTGTTTGATTAACAAAGTAGACACTTTGGTGTTTGGCCTCCATTTTCTAGATGACGTCTCTGTGGGCGAAGCTTCCAGAGCATGGAGCCATTTTGGATATTGATGCCATGGTGTGTTATCCAAGTGTGTTCGTTACTTGCACAACACGCAACACAAAGAATCAAATGCCCCCAAAGCAACTGCAGGTTGACACATTCATGCATACGTGTTTGATTTAAAGAAACTTTCAAACCGCCCCAAGTTTTCATTTTGAAGACAGCGCTTTGGTAAAGTGAGGATTCTGTGAAAGTTCATTGTGGATGTGCACAAAAACCAGAGCAATGGACATAACTGTGTGTGATCTTATTTCCAAAAGAGCCTTATTGTTATTGTAACATGGTGAAAACATGAAATAATGTTGTATTATGATGACCTATACTGCATTACATAGACTTTAACTTTCCGGGGTTTTTTTTTTTAGTTGGTTGTTTTTTTGTTTTTTTTAACAGAGATGTTTTTATCACTTTTTTTTTTTTTTTTTTTAATTAGCGGGAAAAGAGAAATGGTTGTCTGTTCATATTATGTTCAAAGACACATTCTATTTTTTCACTGTAGAAATGTTCAGTATAACAACATGTTTGCGTGAGTGTGATATATACATATATATATATGTA